CGCACAGGTTTTTCCCCCCCCCCCTTTCTTTTCTCTTTCAGACATGTACAAAACTCACCTCTAGCTCCTTGCTGGCTACTAGAAAGATTCGGGCACGGATCTCTTTCCACCGACTCTCCGTCCACGTGGAGTACTCCGTGGATCCCCACTGCCGCAGCTCGAAGGCAGGAGACAGGGCTTTGGTCAGGTGAACGGTTGACCGGACGCAGTAGGGGACCCGGGAGGTTGAGTTGGGGTCCAGAGAACCCTGCACCCAGGCATAGTCATACATCTGTGAAGAAAACAGGAGGGTAAGAGACCTTACCTGAAGAGAAAGGGGCTTTACTGCCCCTTTTCGCTCTAAGGGCATCCTTTTGCCCGCTCCTTGGCCATTAAGAGGCCTCCTTGGGGGAGTTTCCCAGTTCTGCTCTGCCCTGGTGAGACCCCAGCTGCAGCTCTGGGGCCAGTTTTCACTGAATTTCACTGAATTTTAGAGTTGGAAGGGACCATAGAGATCATCTAGTCCAACTCCCCTGCTGAAGCAGGATTGCCCAGAGCTAGAGCATGTTACTCAGGAGCATCCAGGTGGGTCTTGAAAATCTCCAAGGAAGGGGACTCCACACCCTCCCTGCCCAGCCTGTCCCAGGGCTCTGTCACCCTCACCGTGAAGAAGTTTCTCCGCAGATTTGAGTGGAACCTCAAGAAGAAGGTGTGGGCGCTCCTTCTCCAGAGAGATTCCAACCCCTCCTGGATTTGATCCTGTGGGACCTGCTCTGGGGTGACCCTGCTTGGGCAAGGGGTGGGACTGGGTGATCTCCAGAGGTCCCTTCCAGCCCCCACCAGTCTGTGAGTCTCCCACACGCTATTAGGAGGAAGAGAAAACATTCCCAACCAGTTTTCCTCAAAAGCAGAAACCATAAACTGGATGGATCTGTCCTTCCCTCTCATCCTGCTCTGGTGGCCACTTACTTCTCTCTCGCTGCTGGGTGTTTTTTCAGGGTTCAGACACTCTTCCTTGGTGAGGTTGACGACGGTGCCCGTCAGGTTGGCCAGGACATACTGGACAAGATAAGTGGTGTTGACAGGGCTGGAAACAGCAACGTAATGTTGGGGAACATCATCTGGAACAGAGGGAGAGAAAAGGGGTTGAGGAGGAGATGGCCAGAAGCAGACAGCGCTGTAGAAAGCTGCCAGGTCACACATGGGGTCAAACCCATCCCCGTGGTCCTATTCCCTGCGTTGCTCTTACCACCCAGAATTCCTTTTACGTCTGGTTTAACGATGGACTGGAACCAGGAATTGTTCATTTTAATCAGAAACCCATACAGCATCCGAGAGACCTGGGAAGAGATGGAAATCAGTTTATACAAAGCCTTCTATGATGCCATAACCGGTTGGTTGGATGAGGGGAGGGCAGCAGATGTCATCTACCTTGACTTCAACAAGGCTTTTTTGACACTGTCTCTCATAAAATCCTCATTGGGAAACTGAGGCAGCGTGGGCTGGATGAGGGGACAGTGAGGTGGATTGAGAACTGGCTGTGGGACAGGACTCAAAGGGTAATGATTAATGGAGCAGGTTCAAGTTGGAAGCCTGTGACCAGTGGTGGCCCCCAGGGGTCAATACTTGGGCCCGTGCTGTTCAATATATTCATCAGTGACCTGGACGAGGGGACAGAGTGTATCCTCAGCCAGTTTGCTGATGGTACCAAACTGGGAAGGGGTGGCTGACACCCCAGAGGGCTGTGCTGCCATCCAGGGAGACTTGGACAGGCTGGAGGGCTGGGCGAGGAAGAACCTCATGAGGTTCAACAGGGAAAAGTGTAGGGTCCTGCACCTGGGGAAGAAAAATGTCAGGTACCAGTATAGGTTAGGGGTGGACCCGCTAGAGGCAACTACTGAAGAGAAAGATCTAGGGGTTCTGGTGGACAGTAAAATGACAATGAGCAAACAGTGTGCTCTTGTGGCCAGGAGGCCAATGGTATCTTGGGTTGCAGAGGGAAGAGTGTAGCCAGTAGGTCAAGGGAAGTCATTCTCCCCCTCTGCTCTGCACTGGGGAGGCCACAACTGGAATCCTGCGTCCAGTTCTGGGCTCCCCAGTTCAAGAGGGACAGGGAACTACTGGAAAGAGCCCAGCGAACAAAGATGATTCAAGGATTGGAGCATCTCCCTGATGAGAAGAGACTGAGAGAGCTGGGACTCTTGAGTCTGGAGAAGAGAAAGCTGAGGGGAGACCTTCTCAATGCCTACAAGTATCTCAAGGGAGGGTTGAAGGAGGAGGGAGCCAGACTCTTTTCACTGGTTCCCAGTGAGAGGACGAGGGGCAACGGGCACAAGTTGGAACAGAAGAGGTTCCACTCAAATATGAGGAGAAACTTCTTCACGGTGAGGGTGACAGAGCCCTGGGACAGGCTGCCCAGGGAGGGGGTGGAGTCCCCTTCCTTGGAGATTTTCAAGACCCGCCTGGATGCTCCTGAGTAACATGCTCTGACAAGCTCTAGGCAATCCTGCTTCAGCAGGGGAGTTGGACTAGATGATCTCTATGGTCCCTTCCAACTCTGAAATTCAGTGAAATTCAGTGAAAGAGCAGAGATCTATACAAACGGGATCTTCCCAGCTATAGCTCTCTCAAGATTACTTGGCTGACAGATGTTTCCCACTACGAGGGCCAAGAGAACAGCAAAGGAATGACTATATGTCACAACTGTATAGAATTCAGGACCAAAATGTGAAAATTGGCTTAGATTCCAGCTCCACTGACTCCTTAGCCTATCCCTGCAGCGCACACATCGCTGTTTCACCTCAGCTTCCTCTTCTGCTTTGCAGAAGGAGGATAAAAGGAGCTCTATTTCGTAAAGGCCTCGTGAAGCTTAATGTCTGCCCCAAGATGGAGAGGAAAGGAACCAGAGAAGGGTTTTTCACAGAATCCCAGAATCTTCTAGGTTGGAAGGGACCTTCAAGATCATCTTGTCCAACCGTCAACCCAACTGACAAAAATAGACACCCCCACAACAAACAAGAAGCATCACCATCACTAAACCAGACCTCCCAGCACCACATCAACCCGGCTTTTGAACACCTCCAGGGATGGGGCCTCAACCCCCTCCCTGGGCAGCCCATTCCAAGGGCTGAGAACCCTTTCAGTGAAAAAATGTTTCCTAATATCCAGCCTGAACCTCCCCTGGGGCAACTTGAGGCCATTTCCTCTTGTCCTGTCACCTGTGACTTGAGAGAAGAGACCGACCCCCACCTCTCTACACCCTCCTTTCAGGGAGTTGGAGAGAGCAAGAAGGTCTCCCCTCAGCCTCCTCTTCTCCAGGCTGAACACCCCCAGCTCCCTCAGCCTCTCCTCATCAGACTTATTCTCCAGACCCCTCACCAGCTTTGTCGCCCTTCTCTGGACCCGCTCCAGCCCCTCGATGTCTTTTTTATGGTGGGGGGCCCAAAACTGGACACAGCACTCGAGGTGAGGCCTCACCAGTGCCCAGTCCAGGGGGACAATCACCTCTGGGGTGATTTTCATTCAGCTGTGGTGGGGAAAAGGAGAAGGGGGGGGGGGCCCAGGCAGAGCCCTCGCGGAGGCAGACAGGACAGCATGCTGTGTAAACACATATAAACAGAGACAGAAGGGAAGGACGTGAGGGGCTCATCGGAGATGCCAGGGCCTCAATTCCATCTGCTCGTACCGTTTTTGGATCTGCCTGAATAGCAGAGGTGTCGTTGGCTCCCCCCGCGAGCCGGTAGAGAGCACGGGCGACCACTGTGGAGACTTCTGCCAAGGACTGCAAAGGAAGAGAGCTCCCTGTTAATCAAGACGGGCAGATCCAGCAAAAACAAGCAAGGAGAGCCAGCCAGAACCCACACATCCATCAAAACCCCTTCCATCCTGCTAGCATTTGAGTGCCCGTCTCTTTTGTCCCTGTACAAAGAGCTCCCACCTTCTTTCTGCCTTCTTTGGAAACAGCTTTTCCCCCCACCTTCTCTCTGCCCCTCCTCCCAAAGCCCCCATCCACCCTGGATAAAAAAAAAGCTAAAGAAAATGCAAAATAA